GTTCTTTCTCAGTAGCCCCTGGAGCACCAGGTCCTTGCCATCCTCTGCGTGTTGGCTTTCTTCCTCAGGCTTGTCCCTCAGCAACACAAGATGGCCACCATGGCTCCCGTCATTACATTTCTCCCCAACAAGATTAAAAGGCGGGTGAAGGTGCATCTCCCTGTGCGTGTCCTTTGTTGTTGGGAGGGGGAATTAAACTTTTAAAGGAACTTTTATCTTGCCCCCTACTCCCCATAGCTACCTCCACCTTCCCCTTACTCTCATTGGTCATAAAGGAGTCATGTGCCTCTTCCTAAACCAATCACTGGTAAGGGTACTGGCTTCCCTGTGATGGATGTGGGCTAATAAGACGCTACCCCCTAGGGCAGTGGCAGACTCCTTTCTGGGCACATGGCATAGGGAAAGGTGAAAGGTATCATCAAAGAGGAAAAAAGAGGGGATGACTATTGGGAAAGGAGATCCACAGAGTCTGCCACCTGAATAAAGTTGGACCACAGTGGGTGGAGAAATGAGTACAAGGTAAGGAGACATGGAGACAACAGGTGTAGATGATGCTCTCTACAACTTTGAGATGAGAGACATGGGAGCAGGAAGGATATTGTGATTGTGCCCTAAACATGCCTGAAACTTCTTGCCCAAAACTGACTTCATGAATGGTACCACCACTCATAAAGCCAGACAGTCGGGAATCATTTGGAATTGATCTCCCATCCTACACACCTCTGCCCGCTTCAGCCCTAACTAGTTAATCCTACAGATCTACCAAGTCTAATAGTAGCTCTAGAATCCTCTATCTCTGTGCCAGGGTTTTACAACAGCAGCACTATCTGTATTTCTAGAATCCTCTAGAATCCTCTATCTCTGTGCCAGGGTTTTACAGTAGCTCTAGAATCCTCTATCTCTGTGCCAGGGTTTTACAACAGCAGCACTATCTGTATTTCAAACTGGATAATTATTGGGGGCAAGGGGCAGTCCTGTGCATTAAAGGGTGCTTAGCAGCTCCTGGAAGCTAGTAGCACCCTCATCCCTAACATTCACTCATGACTATCAAAAACATCTCTAGACACCGCCAAATGTGCCCTGGGAGTGGTGGGGGAAATTTCCCCTGGTTGAGAACCACTGCTCTGTGCTCATGTGCAAATTTAGCCAGTCTTTATGCACACTCTGTTCCCTCTCTCATCTTTTCCACTCTAGCCCTAATCCTGAAGCCTCTGTTCATTCATCAATCCTATATAATAAAAGCCTAATATGGTAAGTTTCGGATCGGCCATTCAACCAATCAACAGCATAATATGCTAATGATATGCTACGGCTGCTCAGCCACTTACTATGATGTGCACTGACCACCAGGGGGCAGGCACTCCTATAGATATGTTAGCTTGCTGCAGGGGTCTGGCTGATTGATCAGGACTGAGCAAGATGAGCCAAACACACCCTGGAGCCCTCCCGCAGTCCTTCCCCAGCTGGCCAACTTTCCACATCCCTCCTCAATCCCAATCATGCACTGGTGGGGTCCCACTGGTGCACAAATTTGTGCACCGATCTTCTCGTGTATTATAATTGACAATCTACTTGTGTCTCTTTCTCCCCAGTTGTGAGCTCTGGGAACCATGTTTATCTTGCTCAATATTGTATCTCTAGACCAGCAGTCAGCAAACTCATTAGTCAACAGAGCCAAATATCAACAGTACAACGATTGAAATTTCTTTTGAGAGCCAAAATTTTTAAACTTAAACTTCTTCTAATGCCACTTCTTCAAAACAGACTAGCCCAGGCCATGGTATTTTGTGGAAGTGTCACAATCCAGGGGCCAAAGAGTTGCATGTGGCTCGTGAGCTGCAGTTTGCTGACCACAGCTCTAGACCATAGTTAGATACACAGAATATACTATGGTATGAATGAATGAATCATTTCTGCCCTGCCTTTCATATCTTCCCCAGTTGGCTGCTGGATTAATAAACCAGCCTTGAGAATGACCCTAGCAACTGGCCACACAGTGTCTTAATCAATTGTTTTTGACCATTTGTGATTATGGACCTTGTTGAGGCCTGGGAGTGATCACTAGACCTTCACCTCCTCAAAGGCCTTAAGACATATCACCCAAAGCCCACCCAGTGTATCCAGTGGATTACTGTTTCTCAAGGTAAGCCGTAAGCTAGAATTTTCCCAATCCAGTTTTATGTCCTTCTGTGTTCTTCCTTGCCTCCAGGATGAAGATCTAACTCCAAAACTGTGCACACAATGCCCTTCAACACCTGGCCTTGCCCTTCCAACCCCTCTTCCCTCCCATCTCTGAACATTCTTTCCTGCAGGCTCCCTCTCCCATGACCATGTCCTGAAGCAGCCAGGCTGACAGCTCCAGATCTACCCTCTACTTCTGTGGCCCAGCATACCTTGACCCACTTAGCCACAGGGGCTGTCCAACATTCCACTCAGATCTGATTTGTTCTTTAAAAAAAAAAATTTTTTTTTTATTGATTTGAGAAAGAGAGGAAGGGAAAGAGAGATAAGAAACATTGATGAAAGAGAAACATCAATATCAATCAGCTGCCTCCTGCAACCCAGGCATGTGCCCTGGCTTGGAATTGAACCAGTGACCTCTTGGTTAATGGGTCGATGCTCAACCACTGAGCCACATCAGCTGGGCAGATCATATTTGTTCTTGAGGTTCTCCTGCCCTCCCTACTCCAGGGCAGTGGGTGCCCCTCCTCTGCTGCTCCCAAAAAAGCAAAAATAATCATGGTTTCCTAATACACTTTTCAGAAGCCTCGGAAGGTTAGGAGTCATATGTAACTCACTGTGTACCCTCAAGACCTGCCTTCTGTGGAGGATCTCATAAATGTTTGTTGGAATCCTCACCATCCACTCCCTATTCCCCTTTGTGTTGCTTGGTGGCCTATACCAGGGAGCAGCTTTCCCCCCAACTCTAAGAATATAGAATAAAGCCAGTTTTAGACTATAGCCCACCCTGATGAGGACAGAGTAGAGAGAATACAAGTTCTTGATGAAGTAGTTGAGGACTGAGATTTTGCTTCCACAAAGCCATTAAGTTCCCTTTACTAGTTTGAGTAATGTGTTCTATTACATGCAACTCAGGACAGCAAGAAAAATCAAATGAATGAATGAAAAAAAAATTAATGAGTGGACACAATCAGTATCCCCAAAACTCTCTTAACCCAGCTGATAGCTGCAAGGCATTTGTTTATTTCCCCCTGAGAAAAAAAACAAGAGAAAATAAAAAGAGAACTTTCCTACCAAGCTATCCCCTTTCTCTTCTCCTCCAGAAATCCCACATTCTGTCTTGTGTCTTTGATCTTCCCTTCCCCAGTGGCTTCCTCCTCTCTACCTTCAGATATTCTCGTGTCTCCCCAGCTTCTCAAGCTCTCTCCACACCTCCTGAGTCCACAGCCCTGCCTCTTTCTCCCTTTCTCCTACAGTCTCCGCTGTAGGAGGCTGACTCTCAGGGCCATAGCACAGGCATGCACAGTGGGTGCTCAAGGAAAGTGCATCACCAGACTGACCTTCTCAGAAGAGTCTTGGACCTTGGTCCCTGCTCTGTGTTCTGTGTGAGGTGTTGCCACCTAGCTCCAGAATTCTGTTTGTCAAGGTCTCAGGACTTAGGCACTCAGGTTCTCAAGCCCAAGCAGAGCCTGGACACTGAAGGCCACTGCTAGCCTGACCTCTCCTGAAGAATCACGCAGCATTGGAGGTGTAGCTCCCTCTTCCAGGAGGGCCCAGGTCATCAGGAGGTCCTGTGCCAATCACTTCCAGTCCTGCCAATCAGGGGGGACCTGGCAGGGCCCCTGTCTAGATCTCAGAGTGCAGTCAAGACAAAGGCTTCTGGAGGGATCACTTTGGGGCCTTGGGGCCTGGGCCAAGGGAGCAGGCTCACAGTGGGAAATAGGAGAAGCTTCCTGGGTAGCAGGAGAATGAGGCCAGCTGCGCTCCAGAGTTTCAGCCCCTCGGGGGAGAGACGTTTTCAAGCTTTTTGCTTTTTCTCTAAGTATGTTCCCGCTGCTCCCATAGATTAAGCTTGATTCCTGCAGGAGATGTCAGAGCCATGGCAAACACTAAGCTTCAGACCATAAGAAAAAGGTGTGTTCGTCCAGACCAGATCTTGAAAGAAGAGTGAGGAAGCAGAGGGAGGGAATCCCAAGAAATCCCAAGACCAGCAGCCTGCTCTGTCTACATAACTTCTGGCCTGACCCATTCCTTGGGGCTCTATTTGCCTAAAGTGGAACTCCTTCTCAAGTGTGACCACAGGTACAGGTAACTACTACCTAACCAAAGGGCACCTGGAAAGGGAAGAGGTGATGCCTGAGTGAGGAAGTAAGGGGAGGTGGAAAGTCCTGGAGACACAGAATACACTGGGTCTTTAAGCCTCAAAGCCCACCCTGGCCCCAAGCAGTCTTGCCAAAGGATTCACAATCCCACTCAAAAGGCTGAGCCAGAGATGTCACACACCTCTACCCCTACCCCACCCAAGCAGACACATGCCCTACAACCATGGTCAGCAAATTGAGACTCGTGAGCCACATGCGGCTCTTTGGCCCCTTGAGTGTGGCTCTTCCACAAAATATTACGGCCTGGACGAATCTATTTTGAAGAAGTAGCGTTAGAAGAAGTTTAAGTTTAAAAATTTTGGCTCTCAAAAGAAATTTCAATCGTTGTACTGTTGATATTTGGCTCTGTCGACTAATAAGTTTGCCAATCACAGTCACACCCCATCCAGGTTCGAAAGAGATGCACACACCAACACAGCTTTGAGGTTCCAACCATTTTATACTGAAATGCACATGGGCTGATCCAAAAAGGGTCGAACTAGGGGAGGAAGAAATGATGAAAGTGGGCAATCCCAGGGCTTGATGTTACCAACTCTTGAAGCATGTGCCAGTCCACCTGTCTGTCTGCCCATCCTGGCAGGATGGTCAGGCCTGGAGATCTGGAGGAGCTCAGCTGAGCTGGGCAGAGGAAGCAGCCAGTCCTGGGCCAGGCAGTCCTCAGCTGAAGGGCTTCACCAGCTTCATGGCAGCGTAGTTCTAGAGGAGAGAGGAGGCAGGGATGCGTGAAGACAGCTGCAGGGTCTCAGGACTTAGACACCCAGGTTCTCAAGCCCACGCAGGGACTCATCTACTCAACCACCTGCCTGCACTCTGCCCTCAGCACCCTTACCCCTTGCTCAGCTCAACACCGCCCTCCTGGTGCCCTTGCCAATCACACAAGCCCAGTCCTTCTTGGAACTCTTCTGGAACCCTCCCAGAGTGGGGGGAGGGTAACAGCTGCCTGAATTGCTCTGTCTTCTCCCCCATCATCAATCCAGGGCCCACTCTCATGTTCCAACCACAGCCAAGAGGATTCTGACCACCAGGGCCTGCCCTGGCCTCTTCGTCAGACAGGTGATCTTCCCTTCCCTTTTCTGTATGTTTCCTCGCCCCCTCCCACATGGAGCCAGGACTCACTGGCTACCATGCTCCTGTCCAGAAAATAGAGCGAGAGAGAGAGTTGAGGGGCTGGGTGTACGGGGATGACCCGCAATGCAGGCCAGCACCTGGGATGGGTCACCCCTGATTAGACCCTGGCTGCTGTAGACTGAAAGGAATCTCTCGCCCCACTCCTCCCCCCAAAACCATGAAAACACACACAACACAACACAGGGCTCGTAATTGGGACAGTATGTTCCCCAGCGCCGGCCCAGGAAAGCCAGCTCTGGAAACAAAGCCTTCCCGCCAGATACGCTGCCTCCCCACACTGGCCCTGCTCCCGCTGGCTGGGGGCAGCAGGAGGAACCAGACAGGCTGCCCTCCCTGTCCCCCTCCCAGGGGAACTTCCAAGAGGGTGGAAGACTAGACCAACCGGAGGGAGCAGCCCCTCGACATAGTGGGCTCTACCAGGCCCTCTGCCCTCCCCACAAGGCCAAAGAGTCAGGGGAAGGCCTTGGGCCGCCAGGTGATGGGGCAACTTGGCCGGAGAGCAGTAGGACTTGCCCAGGTTATAGCAAAGGCCTGTCCACAAAACCTGTCTGCAGCCTCAGGCCCAGCTGCCCCTCCAGCCCTGGACCTCTCACCTATGACTTGCCTCCCAAAACACTGACCCTGGAAGAGGAATGGTGAAGTTGGTGTTTTAAAGAGGACAATTTTCAGAAGAACTCAAAGGAAGGTGATGGCCGCTGCTGGGGGCCTCAGAGATAGAGGAGGGTTCTGACCAGGGTCAGTGGCAAAGCGCCCCTCTGCTTTGCCCACAGAGCCCGGGGTTAAGGCTGCTCCAAGGACAAGGAAGGAGCACGGGCTGGAAGTGAATGGAATTCTTCTCTCCTCCCCAAGCCAGGCAGCAGGGCGCCTTCTCCAGACCCTGAAGACCTGGCCTGCTGCCCACGTGCCTCACAGGGAAGGGCCCAGCTGGCCAGGGGCAGGCGCTAGGCACAGAAGGGGCAATGGGGATGTCACTCTGGCCCTGCCCCTGCCCTCCCCTTAGCTCTTCAGGAGGACACTGACTTGATGTAAAGCCTCCAAGAAAGGTAAAAGGGCTCCCTTAACCACCATGCAAATCAGAGCTGACCCAGTCCAACACACTCATCCTTACGCGGATGGGAGGACCCTGAATTTCTGGACCTAGACTCTCCTTTGTCACTTAGGCCCAGACAGTTCCCTCTGCTGGTCTCCACAATCCATGTAAGAGACCGAAGGGATGGCTTTGTGGTTTTAACTACAAGGGGTGCAAGCTGCTAATATAGTAAGTCCTCACTCAACACCGTCAACAGGTTCTAACACTTTAAGTGAAGCGACGTATAACAAAACCAACTTTTACCATAAGCTAACTGAAAGAAACCAGAGTTAAATTCCTCCGGCATCACAACAACATTATAATGAAACTAGAGACCCAGTGCACAAAATGCATGCACGGTTAGGGTCCCTAGGCCTGGCCAGCAATCAGGGCCAATTGGAACCTTCCAGCTGCCAGCCTGAACCTTCCTTCATTTCGTGCTGCCCTCTGGTGATCAGCACACATCACAGCAAGCAATTGAACTCCCAGTCTCCAGGTCAAACTCCTAAGGGACACTTTGCATATTAGCCTTTTATATATGAAAATAACTTTAAATTACATTCTCACACATGAAAAATCTGCTGGTGCATGGGCTCTCGCCAGTCAATGCAGGAGAGAACTTTCCACCCACCTCCTCCTCCTGCAGGATTCACAAAACAAAATGCACACTGGCAAGTAATTCCCAGAGCAGACTGCCCACTGTGGGCATACTGCACTTGACTAAACTGAGGCCTACGGTGTCCCTACATTAGGAGCCATGCACAGACTGCCCTGAAGCCCTGAGCCAGTCCCTTCCCTTCTCTGGGTGTCTCCTTCTTTGCCATTCAAATTAGGGTGACACGGCCCTGGCCAGCATAGCTCAGTGGTTAAAGCGTCAGCCGGCACACCAAAGGGACTAAGGTTTGATTACTGGTCAAGGGCACATATATGAGTTGCAGGTTCAATATCCTGCAACCAACTGATGTTTGTCTCTCATATCAATGTCTCTCTCTCTCTCTCTCTCTCTCTCTCTCTCTCTCTCTCTCTTTCTCTCTCTCTCTCTCTCTCCCTCCCTCCCTCCCTTTCCCTCTCCTTCTCCTTTTCCTATTCATCTCTCTCCCTCCCTTCCTTCCACTCTCTCTAAAAAAACAAAATGGAAAAAATATCTTCAGATGAGGATTAAAAAACAACAAAAAATCAGGATGATATGGAGTTGATTATGCCATCCTATTTTCATATCAGTTTGAAATGTTCATTTATAAAAGTTTAAAATCGTTTGAAGAATATCAAAAGTCAGGCATCAGCCTGGTAACTCTGTGGTCCCTTCAAAGTTATTGTGGGTAGACAGGGTAGGGGTCTGGAGCATCTTCAGAGTTCCACTGATGAGCTATGAGGACCAGGGAAGCCAAGACCATGAATACAGCCCCAGATCTCCCTTTTTGGGCGGAGTCCCATGGAGCTGGGGGGCAACAACTGGCTTCTCACCAGGTGAAAGGGACCCCCACTGTGCACTGTACCAAGTGAGAGGGCCATCTCCTGTCTGTCCACACACATCTTCCCCCAGGCCTGCCCTCTGCAGGAGGAGAGACACTCTGTGTCACGGTGCTTAGGCGGATGCTGAGACTCTCTGCTGGCCCCAGGTCCTCCCTTCCTCTGGACCTCAGCAGGTGCCACCCGCACAAACAGAGGGACCTCCTCCTCTGTTCTGCTATCTACATCGTCCCTTCCTGACTGAGTCCCACACTCTCCTCAGGGGCTCACCTACTAACCCTTTGATTACGTAGTTCAGGGGCTTGCTGAGGACAGCTATGCCTCCCCATCAACAGCACAAAATGTTTCCCCTTTGGATTAAGAGGTCCCTAAGGGTAGGACTTTGTCTACCAGACTGGGAACTCCCAGAGTAGGGGTCATGTCTCCCTCATCAGACCATGGGCTCTGCAAGGACAGAGACTGCATCTCTCCATCAGACTGGGGCTCTTTGAGGACAAGGACTGACTCTCCCTGAGACCAGGCTCTGCTGGAAGTCAAGAGCTGTGCCCCCCACATCAGACCAGGAGCTCCTCCAAGACAGGGCCTGTGGCTCCCTTGCCGGGGCTGCTCACCGGGAAGGCGTAGACGAAGATGCCCAAGAACAGCAGGAGGATGAAGAGAATGATGAAGAGGATGATGGCGCACCGGAACCGCCGCCACAGGATGTACTTCATAGTCTTGTATGGGGAGGTGAACCATAGGAAGGAGGTGTCAGGGCGCCTGGAAGTGAGTTCCCAGAGGTCAGCAGGCAGACCTACCATGGCTGCTTTCTCCAAGTCCTGCTCCCAAACCCCCCTGACCCTCCAGGACCTACCCAGCCTCGAGACCCCAGTCCCTGCCCCAGAACTCACCTGCACTCCCCTGTCCTCCAAGCCTTTGCTATAGTGTGAGCCCCCACCATGCTGCCCTCCTCTTCTTGGTGCCACCAAACCCTATACACCCTCAGGAGCCCTTCTCTGCCATTCTGTCCAGGACACCTTCCCTGCCACCCTCTTTCCTTCCCGACCCAGGACTTAAAAGACTGGGGATTTGGGAGTTGGGCGGAACCTCAAGGGTCTGTCATATTAAGTGAGCCATGGCCCAATGAGCCCCAGATAAGCCAAGCCACCTGCCTAGAGACACATGGCTGATCCACGGGAAGTGAACCCAGGCAGCTGAGTTTCTCTCATAACCGAGAACCTCAAAACCTGCCCCAAGGTCAGCCTCACAACTCAATGAGCTTGCAGGATTTTGTGTCGCAATAATGGCCTTTTAACTACACGCCACTGGATCTCCTGGGCCTCTCTTGTCTTTCCAGCCAGATCCCAACCATACCAGAATGGCTCTCCCCACTCTGCCAGCCCTGTGGCACTAGGAGCAGCTTGGTGATGAAGTAGGCTGTCTCTGCTAAGTCTGACTTGAGCTCAATAGGCCACATGGAAGGACCTAGCAAACGCAGCCCTGACACCACCTCCCCCAGCCAGTCTTTCAGCCCCCGGTTACTGCCTTCAAGGCATCTACATCCACTTAGGGGCCTGGGAGGTAGGGAAGACAAGGACTGGTCCCCCATTTCACAGATGGGAAAATGAAGACTGCCAGACTGTTTGAAAGCCACACTGACACCAAGAGAGCCATGGAAGACAGTTTGGTCAAGGAAAACCCCTTGATCAGGCTCCAGAGTCAATCAGATCAAGTGGAAGAATTCCAGCCTTACCACTTTCCTTCCTCAACTTTGCTAAGACTGTTTCCTCGCCTGTAAAATGAGATGATAACAACAACCCAGCAGAGAAGGTTCCATAACACAACATGCACATGCCACATGACAGCTTGCTCAGCACACAACCAACAGCTACCCAACCATGCCTGCTTCCGGAACTAACTGAGGAGCCCAGTGTTCCTGGAATGACGTCTGTCACCTGCCCTCTAACACCATATGGCTCTCTCTGGGCCATCTGGGCATTGTGACCTTTTTAAATGTTTCATGACCTCTGCAATAGATGCCTCCTAGATGGTGGCTACACCTCCCAGCTCCCCTGGGCATCAGGGATCAGGGGCTTGGCACTGACTTTGGGTCCTCGAGTTTGGGGTTCATGTTGGGCTCATCCCGGCCCTGGCCAGCAGGTCGCTCCTCGTGCTCACTCTCTGCTACGATCTCCAAGGTCATCTCCAGTTTGCCCTGTGGAAACAGAGGGACAGAGGCTTTGCCGAATGGCCGGGAGAGGAGCCATTGATGTAGGGGCCTATGAGGTAGGGAAGACAAGAATTGGACCCCAGGACAATTGTAAGAGCCACTTTATTTAATTTTTTAGTTCTGTTGGGTTGATCTGATCATAAAAGCAGTAACTGCTCCTTGCAGCGCATTTAAAAACTACAGAAATACACAGGCACACCTTGTTTCACTGTGCTTTGCTTACTGCGCTTTGCAGATACTGCATTTTTTACAAATTGAAGGTTAGACCCTCCACCAGCAAAAAAGATTGTGACTCGCTCAAGGCCCAAATGATGTTTAGTATGTTTTAGCAGTCACGTATTGTTAAAATAAGATATGTACATTGTTGTTATAGACATAATGCTATGCACACTTAACAGACTACAAGATAGTATATACATAGCTTTCATACACACTGGGAAACCAAAAGATCCATGTGGCTGGTTTTATTGTGGTTATTTGGAACCAAATCCACAATATCTCCGAGGTCTGTTGTGCAGACGAAGGAGAACGTCAGCTGTACCTCCACTGTGAACACTGTTATGCAGCAGAGCTGGTGTTCTCTGCAGTGTACGAACTACCACACTGTGTACACATACTTCTACGGCTAGCTTCTTTCACTTAGAAATATATGCTGTTTCACTGTATAATTACATATTCTTTAAAGTTTGCTTCGTAATGGCCGTAAGACATTCTATGGGATGGTGGGCCATAATTTGTTTCATAAACTGCTTATTTTGGTTCATTTAGCTTGTTTCCGACTGTGCGGTACTATAAGTAATGCTGCAGCAAATACCCCAGAACTTTTTTTCTTTTTCTTTTTTTCATCTTAGCTGGTTATTTCTTCTGGAGAGATTTTTAGAAGTGGGATGACAGAGGATAAAGGCATCAGTATTGTTAAATCTCTTGCTGCAGGTTACCGGATTGCTCCCACACACGGTAGAGCCGTGAGCACTCCAGCAGAAGTAAGGGAGGAGCCTGTCTGCATCTTTGCCAGAAGTGAGCATTTCTGGTTTTAAATCCTCATTTAGCAGTCAAAAAGCCTTCACGTTTTAAAATATGCCTTTATTTAATTACAATGGGGACTCAACCTTTTCAAATGTTTAACACCCATCTGTGCTTCTTTTGTGTATCACCTATGCATGCCCTTTGCTCATTTTTTTTTTTTGAGGTGTTCATTTTTTCTTGTGAATTATTATGGTTAATTATTCAACAAGGGTATTTTATTTCAATGGCCACGTTAGGAGCTGGGTGACTGCCTATATTTCTAAATAAAGTGTCAGGATTCACTTCCTCTGCGGAGGAAGGACAGTTCAGTGCCCTGTCTCACCCCTAAGCAGACCTCTGGGCAAGCACAGTAGGACAAGGAAGGTTCCTGGTAGGGTCCTGCTCAAGTGAGTGAGGCAAGACCCCTGTCCTGTACAGGAGCCCAGGCCAGAGGGATCCCAGCACACAGATCACTGGGAAGACCCAGGAGCCGGAGCACAAACAGGGTCAGAGGGAGCTAAGCGCATCTTTGGATTTAAATAAGCTTCCCTGGCATGTGAGCCTCAAGGAGAGGAAGGCTGGGAACTGGGAAGGGAAGCCGGCTGGCGCCTTGAAAAACAGGGAGAGGGAGGACAAGAGAGGAGGGCAGGCACACATAGGCTCTGGTGCCCCACTGGCTAGTGGGGAGCAGACTTACCGCTAATATCTTCTTCTCACCCTCCTCTGCTACACAGGGCCACCAGCCCTTCACTGTTTTCTGTTCAAAAAGGGACACGAACCACTCCGGGTGGAAAGTGTCATCCAGCAGGTCCAGGGAGCACTTCTCCGCCGTCTTGGCGGGCTTGGGCATGCGGTTGAGATCCAGCTGCAAGGCGCCTGTGGCAAAGAGGGGTTCCTTAGCCGAGGGTTTCAGTCACTGGCAGCGAGTCCCACCCAGGGGCGGGCAGGTTCCACATAAACTCAATTACCTCCTCACCCTCCATCCATGGGCTTAGCCACGATTCAGATCCCTCCAACTCCCTATCCATGCCCTCCAAGCTCCCTATCCAGGCCCTCTTATTCCATCCATACAGTTTCCCATCCATCTACTCACGAATCCATACGCCCACTAACCAACCCATTGACTCGCCTTAAAAGAGCTATTTATCTTACTATGCACAAATCCATTCATTGTCTACATCTATCATCGATCAATTTTAAATTGTTTTTATTGTAGAAAAATCTATTTGACATAAAATTTGTCATTTTAATTCAAAATTAATCACCCCTAAAAGAAATGGCACACCCATTAGCAGACATTCTCCATACCCCTTCCTTCCAAGCCTGACAATGATGATTCATGTAGAATTTCCTATTGTGGATATTTCTAACCATTGGAATCATAAAATATGTGTCACTTAGCATGTTGTCAAGGTCTGTCCATGCTGTAGCAGGCATCAGTATATCATTTTTTCTATGGCTGATGGGGAGACCACACTTTTCTGGTTAACTTTTATAGTTGTGATGGGGCTGTTACAGTCCAATCTGTTGGCCCCATACAAGACAGTGTTCCTCCCCCACAAATCTCACTCCTTCGGCCCTGTGCTCCCTGCTTCCCAGGTCAGGGTTCAGCACACTTCTGCCCCATCAGAATCCTGTCTGCGGCCTGGGGGGGTGGAGACATGTTCCTTCATTTGGTCATCATTCAGGCACAAGGGTGAAGAGTGTCTTGAGCCCCTCGCTGGCTGGGCTCAATCTGCATCTAGACTGAGAGGTGGGGCAGGGAGAGGTGGAAGGCATCCTGTCAAGCCTGAGGCCAGCCAGCCAGCCAGCGATGGCCAGCATATGTCTGCACTGCCTCAGCCTGTGTCTCCCTCTCTTCCTTGCCTGAGTCCTACCATCTAATGTGGCACAGTGTCAATGCCACCTCTGCTGCTAGACCACCCTCTGACCATGCTGGCACTGCTCTGCATCATGGATCTCACTCAGCACCAGGGACCAGGGACTCTGAGCTCCCTGCCGGCAAAATATAGGTGCACCTCCTGCTAGCCAGCCAAGAATGGCGCGCGCGCGCACACACACACACACACACACACACACACACACACACACACAGTGGGGACTCTGGGGTCACCCCCAATGTACAGAACGGTGCTGAGAGGCAGTGCTCACCCAGAAAGTCGTCAAAGGAGAACTTGTCGTTGTCCCAGATCTGGAATACCACTCGCGCTGGGATTTTGCTCTCAGTCTTGTCCAGCCTCCAGAAAGCATCCTGGCCCAGAGGAGGAGCAGAGAAGGAAGTGAAAAGAGAGATTAGAGAGAGGCTGGTGCCTTTCCAGCCTGGAGGAAGCAGTGGGGTGGGGCATCCCTTAGAGACTTGCCAGAGCCAGGTTCTGGCGGGAAAACTCATGAGACCTCAAAGAGCAGGGTTCGGGTTCAGGAGGGTACCATGCAGGCTCCCTTCTCACAGGTGGCTCCTCGGATCCTCCCAATTCTCTGATTCAATGTTCTCATTCCCACTTTACAGATGATGAAACAGAGGCTTGGAGAAGTTAAGCATTAGCCCAAGATCTGACAGCCAATAATAATAATAATAATAATAATAATAATAATAATATTGCACTTCTAGTGTACTAGCCCTTTACCACAATGAACTCATCTACCTTTCCAGTAACCTATACGGGAGACACACCTTGGTGCTGAGAAAACCAGAGCAGGTAATGTGGGAGTCATACCCCTGGGAAGTGGCAGCCAGGGTCCACACTAGGCAGTCAGGTTTCAGAATCCATTTCATACCTCAAATTCCTGCTCTGCCCTTGTGATCTTGGGGACAGAGTGGACTGGCTGGGGTACCCCACCCCACCCCTGGCACACTGCTATAAGAAGCTGACACTGGGGGGCACCTTCTCCCGCTGAGAGCCTGCTCTGGGGTAAAACAAAGCCCCTGGTGCTGGCAAATTCCCCCCACCTTCCTGCACTCCCCATCCCACCTCCCTCGCACCAGGCAGCCTGAAACAGTGTCATCTTGGGTTTCTTCCCAAGAGGCCTCACCGAGCTACTGAAGGATGAGGACTGGGCATGCCAAGGCCTGGGTTTACGTTGGGTTCACACACTCAACCCAAACGACTGCCACTGGGGCTTTCCTGCTCATGCCAGTCCTAGTCTCTCCTAAACAGCGGCAAGGACAAGAAACATTCTGACCAGTCTGCAGGTCATGGTAGAGGCCTAGACTGAGTCTCGGAGAGACAGACTCCATAGGGAATTGGAGAACGCTGCTGACCACACATGGTTTGTCTGGCCCAGAGTGCCTCGTATACACAACCTCACTGTCCAGTCAGGTCCATGCCTGCTGTGTGGCCACCCCAAGCCATGCAAACCACAGAAACCCTAAACTGGAACCATGACCTGAGCAATGGTCACCTTGCAAAGCAACCGGCCTCTGTCTGGACGGCTGCCTGACTTGGTGAAGGGGCTCAGGTCCCCAGCTGGGCCCTTGCCCCCCAGCCCGTCTGGTGCCTCCCCCTTTTCCGGGCCCCGGCCCTCCTGCAGGTGCCTGCCTCCTCTGGCGGGGCTTTTATGGCCAGCACCGCAGGCCCGCCTGCACAGGCCGCCAGCAGCCTCCATTCCTCCGGCCGGCCTGGTTTATGGGCTCAGTAATGAGCCAGAGGTTCAAACAGCCCCTGGTGGGAGCAGCTGGACTGGGGCTCCAGCCTGGGGAACAGCCCCCCAGGTCCCAGGCGCTCATTACGCTCCCGGTCTGGGCCCTTTTACTAGCTGTTTATTTGCGGGGTGGGTGCCTGACGCGCAGGCAGGCCCCGGTGGGTGTGCTGGGCTCCAGGTGGGGAGCGGGCCAGGGCGACCAGCGGTGGTTCAAAGCAGCCGGATGAAAGGAGACCTTGTACTTTACGACAGTCTCGTCTGGTTAATGGGGTCCCTGGAGGGCCTGCCTGCCAGAGGCCCTGAACCCCTCGGCAGAGGGCTGGCTCTGCAGCATGACCGAGGAGCCCAGAGGCTGCTCAGTGCCCCCACACAAACCCACCCCAGACTCGGTCCTGTAGCTCCTTGGTGCCCCACTGTGTGCACCCTTCACTTGCCTCCCAGAACCCTTTTTCCACAGAAGGACCGCTGGCTCCGCCTGGGTCAAGCCAGTTCTCCCTCAAGCCCTGGGTGATTTCATAATCCCATGGACTCTGTTTCTCAACCTCCTCCAGTCACCCTCTCCAGGAGCCCGCACCACACGGGATCCCCATTCCCCACCCCGTCCACTCCTGCCTCTTCTGGACTCCCACTCCCCTCCCATCTCTCCACCCCACAGTCCCCATGGGCCTCTCGTCCTCTCAGGGCTAGCCCAGGCTTTGCCACCGAGGGTCTACCCAACTCTCTCCTCTTCCTGCGGGTGCCTGTAATTCAGGGATGAAACCCCGTCATGGCCAGAATGGACCCACCTCAAATTCTTACCTAGCAACTCAGCTGGGCCCTCAGAACTTCCTGGTAACCCTTCTGCATACTACCGTGTTTCCCCGAAAATAAGACATCCTCCAAAAATAAGACCTACTTACAGGTTTCCTTCTGAGTGAAATATAAGGCATCCCCAAAAAAATAAGGCCCCCCCCTAGGCTAAACATGAGAGATTTGGTCCATTGATTCTGAAAGAAATGGAGTCACAAGAAATTCACCAGGAAATTCAGGAATTGCATTGTTAAGATGATGTTCCAGAAGATGATGACAGGATTGTCATTGAATAAATGAGTAAATTCTTGATACTGTAGGATTCACAGTTTGTCGGGTTTGTGTTAACAACTACCGTACTACCGTACCGTATACAGGTAATACATTTCCTTTATTTTCATTTAACAATAAATGTGTACCGTATTCTTCTTCTTGGAAAAATAAGACATCCCCTGAAAATAAGACCTAGCACATCTTTGGGAGCAAAAATTAATATAAGACCCTGTCTTATTTTCGGAGAAACAGGGTAGCAATGAGCCTCTCCTGTTCTCTTTCTCTCTCCCCCTCTCCCTCTTCCTCTCCCTCGCTCAGCATAATAGCTACTTCTAGCCTTTTCCATTTGTCTCAAGTCACCTGCCACAGTCCCAGGAGATTCTCTCTCCTACCTTGTAGAAAATGCAGAAGACTCTGCTTCCTGTTCCTTCTTGCTGATATCCCCACTTGTCACAACCAAGGGGTGGTCCCGCCTCTCATTTGAGCAGGCCAATCGTGTCTCAGCCTCGGTTTCCCCCCACACCTAGCCCCTTTTAGAGCTTGGTGAGCACCAGAGCTGGTGTGCAGGGGCCTCAGGCCCCCCTTTCCCATTCCCAGCCCCCACTCTGAGTGTCCACAGCACACTGTTCGCTTGGTTTAGAGCCCTCCCCACCAAAGGCAGCATGTGCTTTGTGATGGAAACATCCTGTGATCGGCGAGCACACTGGGCAAAGGCTCACAAGATCAAAGCTACACATAGACTAGGCCAGTGGTTGGAAAACTCATTAGTCAACAGAGCCAAATATCAATAGTACAACAACTGAAATGTCTTTTGAGAGCCAAATTTCTTAAACTTCTTCTAATGCCACTTCCAAATAGACTCGCCCAGGCCATGGTATTTTGTGGAAGAGCCACACTCAAGGGGCCAAAGAGCCACATGTGGCTCGTGAGCCACAGTTTGCCGACCACTAGGCTAGGCCTTCTTTTCCTGCACAAAACCAGGGGTGTAACTACATTCTACTTTCTGGCAGGCACTATGCAGCAATCTCTGGGTGAAAGAATTCATTTAACGTGGTTTAACCCATATTTTCTTCTGTGTGGTGGCTTCAGAGTGCTCCACGGCATTCTGGTTTCTCTAGCATGTATACAATCCTGTGTGTGGAGTCGGGAGGGGGTCGTGTGGAAGGGACATAATGAAGAGAATTAGGAAGATGAGTCGGCTGAGGTACATTATTATTTCCCCTCTTTAAGCCACTCAACCACTCAGGAAAGAAAGGGGAGTCAGAGAACCTTTGTAGCTTGAAGCCTCAAGCTACCTCTGGAAGGAAATCGGACCAGCAGAACTGAAATACCAAAGAGGTATTTACCATATCAAATAGGAGAGAACCTTGATTCTAGGTGCCCTCCACCTCCAGTCAGCCTGGCCACGAGGCCCTCACTGCCCACAGCACCCTCCTCACTGAGCTCTGGGTCTGCTTGCTAAGGGCAGGTGTAGAGCCACCAGGAAGGAGTGAGGGGACAACTCTTTACTGCTATTTCAAGGAGAAAGCCCAGATGAGACCTCCATTGGAAGATGTTGAGACACAAAGAACAGAGGCCCTGAACCCACCCTTCCCTCTGGCTGATGCTCACAGCTCTCCTGGGTGCCTTCGGTCTGGGGTGAGAGAAGGGAGGTGGAGAGAAAAGGACAAAAACTTTGAGGCCTGGAAGGGCAGAGTCACTCCCTAGTGCCAGTCCACCTTGGACAATAACCACAGGCACCAGGTGGGGAAACATAGGGAACTAGGTAACAGGAGGAACCTAGCAAAGCAACACCCAATCCTATGGACAACCCAATCCATAAGCCAGGTAGGCACCCTTGGGAAGCTCTCAGCAAGCATGTCAAGCTTGCAGCCCACAGGTCATGAGTTTGACATGCTTGCAAAGGTCTGTCCCACTGCCCCAATGGTGGCCATACTGGTTTCCCACCCAGACCCCGTGACTCTTCCTCCTGTTTGGTTTATCTAGGATTTGGAGAAAGGCAGTGGATTTTGGATTTGGACTTAGCTACATATGATGATTGTGGCACCAGTAAGGGGTGGTTGTGGGATGCCAGCAAAGCCAGCAATGGCAATAATGGTGAGAGTAGAAGAAGTAGAGGAATGGTGAAGATGTTGGTGGTGGCTTTGGCAGTAATGGAGCAGAGTGCGAGAAACTGTGGCAATGTCTTGAGTGATCGGGACAGTGGTAGTGGTGACATTGGCAGAGAGGAGACAATGGAGAATGTGACATTGGCAGTGAGGAGACAATGGTGTGGTGATATTGGCAGTGAGGGAACAATGGTTTGGTGACATCAGCAGTGAGGGGACAATGGAGAATGTGACATTGGCAGTGAGGAGACAATGATGTGGTGACATCAGCAGTGAGGGGACAATCGAGAATGTGACATTGGCAGTGAGAAGACAATGGTGTGGTGATGTTGGCAATGAGGGGACAATAGTGTGGTGACACTGTCAGTGAAGGGACAATGGTGTGGTGACATAGTGAGGAGAAAATGGAGAATGTGACGTTGACAGTGAGGGGACAATGGTGTGATGACATGGACATTAATGTGGTGACATAGTGGGGAGAAAAGGAGAATGGGACACTGGCAGTGAGGGGATAATGGAGAATGTGACATTGGCAGTGAGGGGAGAATGGCACTGAGGGGACAATGGTGATGATTATTCCTCAATGATGGCAGTGCTTGTTCCAACAGTGGTGGGCAGTGGTGAGGGTATGACTATGGCATGCCAGTGTTGGTAGTGCGATCATGCTGACATTAGAAAGCCCAGGAGCTAGCACCTTTGGGGACAGGAACCACACTCACCTTCTTGGTGACGGTGCAGACTTGCTCAGCTGGCAGGTAGTCGAAGGGGAAAATGAATCTCCAGTTAAAGCTGCCTTCGCCTCCCAGGGACCGATAATGCACGTCCGTCTTTTGCTTGTGTTCCTCAAAGCCAACCATCCAACTGGACATAAACATTTTTAGAGAACATTCCCAATTAAGGTTTCCACCACAATATGCATCCTCACCTTGGGCAAATGAGGCATTAAGAAGGTAATGATAAATCATAAAGGAGAAATCATTCTCAAGAAATTTCCATGATGTACCAACTATGCCACAAACTTTTAAACATTTTAAACTTTCTCTGGGCGGACATCCTCAACCCAAATATTATTGTGGAAGAAGAAATCTAGTCTGGAAATAACTCCCCAAAGGCAGAGGTCACACCCTTAAACCCTCCTTCCTTTCTTTTCCTCCCCCTCCCTACACTAGAGACCCCTTCCCAATGGGGCACCACCATGGAGCTGGGATAGATGGGCAGGAGGACGACTCCCTACCCTTTCACATAAATGTCGCTCATCTTTTCCCCTGTGATGCTCAGGTCATCCAGGATCACGTCCTTGGTGTTCCAAATAATACAACGCAGGAAAAACCTGTGGAGAAGAATTATTCAAATCACATGGATTTCCCACCAGTGGGTGGGAGCTCTTTGACTGAGGAGCCAAGAAGCCACCGTACCCAAGAAGACTTTGATACTTGCCTGGCTGGACAAGACTGGGACCCTGTGGTCAGGGTGGTCCAAAGCCTAGCCCAAGCACAACCTCCTTGACCCACCCAAGCTGGTGGGGACCATCCCACCACCCTGTTCAGTTCTAAGCCTGTGGTTGGAGCAAGTCACCTTTTGGCTCTCCGTGGGGTGATGTTGAAGGGAGGTCCAGGCCGCCCCAGGGCCTTTGGAAACAGGTCAATCCACATCTGCAGCTTCCCCTGAGGAGACAAGACCCTGTTCTCTCACATCCTTCTCATTCAACCAACAATCTATGACCATCTGCTCTTGGGACACATGACGGGGAAAATTCAGGCTGGCCATGGAGAGGCTCATCACCTCATAAGGGAGGTGCTGTAAGTGGGACTGCAGGGCCAACTTCAAAGGTGAGCCCACTGGCCCAGAGTCTGATGACTTGGATCTATGCCTGGGGGGTCCAGGGTGCTTTCTGAGCTGAGATTCAGTATGCCAGATAGAAAAGGGGAGAGGGCATTTCAGGCAAAGGGGATGCTCAAATTCCTGGGGGTTCAGAGAGCCTGTTTCATCCTAGAAAGTTTCCAAGGATTTCTGCAACATGAAAACATCTACCTGCCGCCCTTCAGCTCCCTATCTCCGCAAGCCACGTGTTTGTTCTCCCTCCATCTTAGAGAAGGAGGAGCAGGAGTTGTGTCAAATTCTTCAGGGCCACAGAGCTAGAGAAGGCAAGAGCTGACATTTGGACAGGAGCTGTGTCCCTCTGGGGAGCTGGTGGCCACAACACCAAGGGGAGGAGAGCTCAGTTCCAAACAGCAGAGGTGGGGTCCTCTCCTTTTCTCCAAGGCACCTTCATGGCTGCCTCGCCCTTCTTGGCCTGAAACCCTTTCTTTTCTCCTGAGCTCACCTACCCTGGGCCTGCTGTCCCTCTGCTCACCCTCCTGCGTGGCAGGACACCCTCTGCCCTCCTGATGACTGTTCTCTATGGCTGCTCTGCTATTCTGTCACAGGATACTGGTCACCCTATCTGAACTCCCCACGGCAGCCCAGCACGGGGCCAGCCAACTGAGATGTCACTGACTGATGGATGACACAGGAGGGCACCGAGGCTAGGCTGAAGCAGCAAGGCTTTTGGAATGACTCATGGGAAGTCAGAGGTCTGGCCTACAGAGGGATGAAGGAGGCAACTCAGCCTCATTCCCAGGCCCTGGGGTCTGCAGGTAACCTGAGGAGGCCAGGCCCAAGAGGTGTCCTGGAAGGCCAACAGTGGTGACCACTCAGACTGAAGAGGAACACCCTCAAGAAGGGGCTGGCCAAATCCTGGGGTCCCCGGTGGTGCCTCTGGGATGTCCATGTTGTCCTTGAGGTGGTGCTAGCTTAAGGCTGGGGACTCTGGGGCCTGATGGGTGACGTCCTACCTGCTCGATGTCTGGCTGGAGAGGGCTGTAGAGCGGCCGAGACTCCACATGCTCAGGGACTAGGCCTTGCTGCTGAAGGACGTGCAAAGCCAGACGCTCCTCCACTGGGCCCAGGTGTGGGTTCGGGACCCTGCCAGCCTCTGCAGCAGAGAGAAGACAGAAAGGTTTCTGGGTCTGAGTGAGCAAGAGACAGGGCAACCAGTAGTCCTAGGGATGCCCCTAACCCCAACAGCCTCACCCAAGCCCAGACATACTTCTTCCAGTCCTCACGTCTCACCCTCTGAAGGGGGAACCTCGCTGTCCGTGGGCTCCAGGCTTAAACTCCAGATTCCCCATTGCCATCATTTCTACCAAGCCTCTTCTATAAAGCTCTTCTTCCTCTTTCCCACCCATTCAAATCCTGCCTGCCCACCAAAACCCACCCCTTCCCAGAAACCCTCCCTCCCTCACTACTCCAAACTCTGAGCCTCAGTAACCTCTCTTCCCAGATTGGGCATCTACATGCTCTTAGTGCTATTCTCTGGTTTGTGCAAGCTGTTCTCTTAGTAGTAGTAACTCAAATAACAGCACTTATAAATGGGAACCAGGCACTGTTCTTCACAGATAGAACAGGCTGAATCCTTATAATAACCCTAGAAGGTAAGTGCTACGATTATCCCCATTGTACAGATGACAGAAATGAAGCACAGAGCAGTCACCCAGCTGGTCAGCAGGACAGCTGAGACCACACACTCAATTAGGAAAGGTGCATGACTGGACATGAGTACTCCCCTCCCCCTCGTGCTTTCCAGGGGGAACTTTGCCCTACCCAGGACTGGTGCTGGACCAAGTGAGGACTCAGGGATGGTTCTGACTCTAACGAGCCTGGCCAACTAGCCAGCAACTTAAATTTGGAGCTCCCAGGAGACACCTTGACTGGGGGTCAGAGGGTCCACATATCTACACACACATACAAAGGTATGTATACTTAGGTGTGGCCGTGTTCAGTCCCATGGGCACACACACACAAACACACACACACGTTCATTCATCAAACCTTTCCTGTCCCCTTTAATAGGTGTCACTAAGGAAGCAGCAGCATCACAGAAGGACCACGGGCCCATGAATCTGGCTCTGCTCCACCTGGCTGTGTGACTTTGGGCAGGTCATTAACCACTCGAGGCCTCAACCGCCTTATCTGCAAATCAGGCCAATGTGAGTCCTCACAACTCTAACTTTCTGGCTTTCCTTTCCTACCAATGTATGACCATGAGCCCTGGCCTCCGGGATAATGCTGCTCACAGACTAGCAGAAGGAAATGAGACCACCCCTAAAACAGATGCACATTCTAAGGAAAAGAGAATGGAGCTGGGCCTAAAAGAGAAGTGACCTGGGAGTCAGCAAAACAGAAGGAGAAGGAGGGGATTTGGGATGGGGTAGTCAAAGCCATTGTTCCCCTTGTCTAGCCTCAGCACCAGCTCTGATATCAGACATCTCTGAAACCAGCAGGAGCGAGGGGCCAGCTGGGCCTATATAGACCACCAGAGAGTCTGAGCTGCTCCGGGTGGGCGATGCAGGCCTATGGACAACTCCACATGCAGGAAGCATGTGATGGGATTCTCAGGCATGAGCATTAGGCAGACCCAGGGGGAAGGTGGGGACTGCAAGACTTCCTGCCTGCCCTGTGCATGCTTTAGGTTCAGGATCTGTGAGTGGGAGCTCAGAATGGACCATCAGGAACAAATGGGCTCAGGTAGAAAACTGTTTCTCAAATGCGCTGTACCCCAAACTCAGATCAAAGTCTGACTTCCCAAAGCCAGAAGCTGACTGATCCTAACCATGACCCTGAACAGGGCTTCAGACTCACCCCTGCTCTTGCCTTCAGAAGGGCCTCATCCTGGACTGAGCTCTGACCTTGGCTCCACCTTGACCTCTTATTTTTACAGCAGGGTCACAGGTAAGTGCTGATCTCCAGAGTACCAAGCCCATCTGTGCACCCTACTGGTGTGGGTTGTGTCCATTTGGCCCCTTTATGACAGGGCAGAGCCAATAAGAAAGAAGGAGACAGAGAAGAGTCTACAGGTTTCCTGGTCAGCGGGCAGCTCACCTATTTCTTCAATGGTGTATTCTTTATCCTGGAACATCACGCGGTCTGCCTGGTACACAGGGGCTTTGACTCTGTGCTGCTGGCAGAACAGGTGGAGGAGCTGGGAGGGGCAGAGCTGGTCCCTCCACTGGTTCGGTCCAGAGCTGAGGCCAAACACAAGGCAAACATGAGATGCTCCAGAACACTGATAAGGCAGGGGGCATGCAGTGACCTGTGTACCCACATGCACAACATCACCCACCCTTCCCTTGTACAATGGGCACCCCATCTGGTCGTTCACCATGACTGGGGATCTCCACTTTACAGACAGAGACACTGAGGCCTATAGATAACAGGACTTGTTCTAATACACACCCACAGAATTGGAACTTAGATGTTTCCAATTTCCACATTTAGAGAAGCAGACCCAAATAAGAGCCAAGTTGGTAGGAAGTGGGTGGAGGTTGTCCACACATGACTGCACCTAACATAAACCCCCTCAGGGTCCAGCTGGGGCCCATGTGTCTCACTGTCGTCTGCCTCTCCGCGATCTCCTTTTCTCTTTCCCTCACGGGTCCTTAAGGAGAACGGGATCATAACATGATGAAGAGCAAGGTTCTTAGGGTCAGACAAACAGGTTCAAATCCTAGTCCCACCACTTAATAGCTATCACGTCTCTGGGCCTCAGTTTCCTTATCTGTGAGTCGGCACAAGACCCAGTTGGTCTGAGTGAGAGAACACCGGTGAGCTGGCACACAGTACATGCTCAGTATTAGAGGGGGTGGGATTGTTGTCAGAGAAGCAGCCTGCCCCTGTGCACCTACACACAGTAGGTCTGTGGGAGCCCACAGCGAGCCCCAAACTTGGACAGCAGCCTGTTCTCCAGGTCGATGACCGTCTCCCCGATCTTTTCATCCTTGGAGAGGAGGTCATAGTCATAGAGAGTGATCTTCAGGTCCTTCTCCAGAGGCAGGGTGCAGGTCAGCTCGAACATCCTGCAGTGGTGGGCGCAGATGTCAGACAATGCCAGCTCCTTCATGGCACTGGACACGGTGAGAACTCAAGAGGGTAGCACGGCTCAAAGAGGATCCTGAAACCCATCCCTGCCTCTTCTTCCCCTCCCAGGAGTGGCCCTGCGGTTCCTCCCTCCTTGGGTCTCCAGTAGCTCTTAACACACACCACCCACCGCACTCTACTGGTACTGGGCTGTGTGTGTGTGTGTGTGTGTGTGTGTGTGTGTGTGTGTGTGCGCGCGCGTGCGGTTTTCCCAAATAACCTGGGCTGGGCACACAGCACCCATCTGACCACAGAATGAGTGAATAAATTGACACAGAACATTAAAACTGAAGCTCCCCGCAGGACATCAGAGAGGTGAAACACCAGAGCAAGATTCCAGAGCTCTGGAGTTACCCAGGGGATGATGGCCTGGGACCCACTTTCAGGACTCCTGGGGCTTCACACTGGCTTCCGGGGTAGGATGGAGAGAGGATTGTGAAGAAATTTTTGGAGAGAGCTCCTGCTATGCTCTGAGACCCCCACCCTACTTGGGGTCAAAGGTGGAGGTGTTAGCCCTTCTCCCCAGGGAGCTCTCTGCGGAGGGAGGCAGCCTGGCACTGACACACATTCAGACTCTCGAGGAAGAGAGAGCTTGTGGCAGGGAGAAAAGAGGGGCTCTACTTGGGAGGAGCCACTTTGCTCCCATCTTGGCTGGACCGCCAGAAGGCCAGACTGGAGCCAGTTTGAATCCTGCCCCTCAGGACTTGGGGTTCCAACAGTGATTCTGTGGAGAGGCCCATCTGAGAACAGGAAATGGAGGCCATCAGCTGAAGGAACACAGTATCTGCCACATCCCAGGAGCTGCAGGGGGGGACTCAGGCTCTCTGGAAAGCACCCACCAGAAAATAAATCAGTTTGAAACATCTGACACCCAGAGGGCACCAGGAAGCCAGGACAGTGAGATGGGCCCTCTGCTCTGATACTTCCCTGAGTCCTGGCCCTGCAGGAATCAGGAACCTCAGTGCTAGCCAGAGGGGGAGGAAGAGACGCCAGGCAGAGAGGCAAGCCACACACATCCACATGCTGCACACAGCTGTACCCAAGGTAGACCAGCTGGGAGAGGGGGCCATTCCCCTCCAGCCATCCAGGGTGTTCATAATTACACATGCATGGGCACTCTAGTTACCAACTTGAGACTGCGGGCTTAGGACAAAATGCATTGTCTAAACATGAGCAACAAGCTGCCTGATTGCCTGCCTGTCAGTTTCCACTCGGGGAATGAGGAAGGCAACCCACAGAATAAATGTTTACAGGACACCAGCAGACAAAAACAAATGTGCTTTGATTATATCTCTTGAGTCGTGCTTCAACCACTTCAACACATGGGTTATAGAGAGAGAAACTGTCTGACGTGATCTGAGGGAGACTTGAAACCCCAGGCAGATCAGCCTGGCCGTGCAGTGGGGAAGGAGGGGAAACAAAGTGGGCCTGGTCCCAACCTCCACCCTCCCTCCCCCACATGGTAAACAGGCCTGATCTGCCGATCTGCTGCCCATGAGCCTGTGCCCCCATGCTGGCCACTGGAGCTCACCGAATAGAGCTCCCATCCCCATCTTCTCTGCAGCCTTTCCTCCCGTCCCAGCTGGTGATGGCTCATCACTGCCAAAGGCTATTTCACCTTCAAAAATGGCACTTCCCTTGCCGGGACAGGTTTGGCTCAATGGATAGAGCGTCGACTTGGGGACTGAAGGGTCCCAGGTTCGATTCCGGTCAAGGGCATGTACTTGGTTACGGGCACATCCCCAGTAGGGGGTGTGCAAGAGGCAGCTGATCAATGACTCTCTCTCATCGATGTTTCTAACTCTCTATCTCTCTCCCTTCCTCTCTGTATAAAATCAATAAAATATATCAAAAATGGCACTTCCCCAGGCTCACGGGGTCCCTGCTATTGGGCTGAGTGACCACAGCTAACTTGGTAGCTACCAGTGTGTAAATCCAATGTGTCACTTAACAATATCGGAACACCCGCCATCTCCTACAAGGGCTAGAGTAATAGCTGCCGACCGCCCTCTGTGACTCTCCTTTTTTTTGCCTAAATAAGCTCACATCCAAAGAGCAAGCACATCGGGATGTCTGGGAGCTGCTCCCGTGCAATGGGACTGATCTTTCCTTTCCTTGGGTTTCAAGAAGCACCTTACTTCTTGAGTTCACACCCTTCCTCTATCTAACCACTACAAAGGCGCAGCCAAGAAGGTAATCACTAAATGCAATGAGGGATCCTGGATTAGGGGGAAACTGTCAAAATCCTAATAAAGTCTAGAGTTTAGTAAGTAGTAATGCACCAATATCAATTAACTAGTTTTGACAAATATACCATGGTTTGGTAAGATGTCAACAGTGGGGGAAATTGAGTGAAGGGAATACAGAAATTGTACTATCTTTGTAACTTTTCTATAAATCTAAAATTATTCCAAAAATTATTCCAATAATCTTTAAAAAATAGAGAGATTAGCAAATGCATGCCCTGGGTTCCTATTTAGATTTTTGACTTTGAGATCATTGTTTATAGGTTTAACTAGGAGTTTCTGCCAGGACTCAATCCTTTAGCGCGCAATGAGGAACTAGCTGAGGCTATCCCCTTAGACAGCCAAGACTTTGGGAATACAGTTCTGCTCCAGGAATCAGGGACTTCCCAAAGGCAGCCACGTCTCCCCCAAGGGCTGTGGGCTACCCAGACTGACACCTCCACTCCAAGACCCAGGCTGCCCCAACTTACTTCCCAAACACAGGCTCCAGAGTACAGGGGATGTAGTTATCCTGGTCGCTCACCGATTTCTTCCCTATGGAAATCTTGACATAAGGATCACACTGAAGGAGGAGACAGAGAGATTTTAGTGAAATCACTTCCCCGGCATATCTTTGAGACCTCTTCAGCCCTCTGCCTCCCGATGGGACTAGGTGGCCAGCCATCAAGGAGCTGTCATCCTGTCATCCTGCCAGGCCAGGGACCTGCACACCATACCACTTGGCCCTGAGGTGGGCTTCTAGCCACAGTTCAGCAGTGGACATGGGGTACCTGAGTCCTCCATACCCCCAACCCACTTCCCCACTGGCAGAAGGTAGGTGTGGGCCAGGCTGATATCCTCAGAAGCATACCAGTTTGTATGACATGGGTGATTGGGCCAAGCTGGGGTCCTCTCTGTGACCTCTGCTTCAGCAGATGGAAAAGGAGAGAGACAGCCAGACTTTGTGAGCCAAACCCAGCCCCAGTGGCCTTCCCTGAATGCTTCCTAAGAGCAGCAGAATTCCCTCCACCAGCTGCCAGGAGCAGGGGCCAGAGAGTGCTCACAGTCATTCTTGGCTTCAAGAGGTCTTCAAGCGCATGAGCTGATCATTGGTCACTACCACATCCTGGAGGCGCCTGGTAGTGCCTCCAGCAGCCATGACTTCTCACCTTGAAATCCTGGGCTCCCAGGGTAGGACACTAGGTCTTTACCCACAACTTCAAGGACACATACTAGGCCTACATCCAAGGGGTCAGGAGAGGACCCTCGCCTCATACATTTGAACTCCAATCACCCCCACTGCCTCTTTTCTTCCCTCTTCCTCTCTCTTTCCAACTTAACTCTGCCTCTCCCCCACCACCTCCCCATAACTCCAGACTCCTGCCCTCCTTCAAGTTCCCCTCTTTCATTCAGGGCCAGGGCTAGAGAGAGGTGATGAGGTACTTGCCTCAGGCATAAAATTAAAAGGAGGGCCAAAAAAAACTCAGTCATCAAGATAAGCAATATTTTAATGAAGTATTTAAAAAATTAAAATCAATGCCAACAGTCCATGATCAACAAAATATCAAAAGTTTAAATAAATACAGCATCAGTATTACTGGTTTTTCTTTTAGCCCCAGGGTCCATCATGGCACAGCAGAACTGCTGATCCTACGCCACTTATCTCTTTCCCCCACCACTGAAAGTCCTACCAAGACAAGTTCCAGACTACACCTTCAAGGTTGCCTCTCCTTAGGCCTTATCCTTATACTCAAAGAAGTCTTCTAGAGAACTTCTGCAGAGGTTTTTGATGCCTCCTAAAATACTATTTTCTCCTCCCTCCCAGCCTATCAAAACTCCATCAATCCTTAAGAATCCTATTCTTTCAGGAAGCCTTCCTCATTATTCCAATGTCTTGTACTGACTTAGGCCTTTTCTGAACTCTTAGGGCACTTGGCCCTTGATAGAACTCCAGCCAGCCACATCTCAGCTTTGTATATTTGTCTGGTTTTCCTGGGTTGCTGTGAACTTCCTAGGGCAGAGGTGTATCCAGATTCTGTAGCCCTTTGTACCTCTAAGTGCATGTGAGAGCTTGAGAAATGTTACCTTCCCATTGGGGTCCTTGGGCTGCAGGCCAAATGCCTGGATAATATAGATGCGGACCAGGCACTCCTGGGGTCCCTGGGCAGCCAGCTGGTGGAACTGTCTTGGGGGCATGGGGACGGATGGGTCTTCCGGGAGGGGATAAATTTTGAAAAGGCCCTAAAAAGAAGGAGGAGTCAGTTTTTATTTTTATCATCATTGTCACCAACACAATCCTCAATATGATCATGACTTTCGTCTCTGCCAGAGTCATCACCACTGAGATCAAAGAAGCCCAATGCCTTTCCATCACCACCATCAGATTCCATATCAGCAGCATTGCCATCACTATCACCACCTCCATCACCCACATGGTCACCAGCATTAGCACCACAGTCATATGGATATTACTACAGTACCGCTTCACTGACAGTCTTATGTCTCCCTGGCTACAAACATGTCCTCAAGGCCTTACCTTAAATTCCCCAATAACAGATGGGTCCTCCATTTCCTCCTGAGTCTTGCCCCGGTAGAGCTTGAAGGTGTTACAAAAATCAGACAGGCCCTCAAAGGCCTCCACGTTCTCCAGTTGTGTGTCATAGACCTGCCACATGCAGGACAAGAGAAGGGGACAGGAAAAGAGAGAAAGACAGAGGAAACATGACAGTGTTCGAGTGAAGGAAAAGAGAGAAGAGGGAAGAAAATGAGAGGGAAAGACCACAAGCAAATTAAAGGAACATAGGCAAAGAGGAGAGGAGGTGGGAGAGATGGAGATAAGAGATTGGTCAAGGAGGAAGAGAGGCCAGAGAACAAAAGAAGTACAAAGGCAGAGATAACAAAGATGCAAATAGTGGAGATAAAAAAGGCAAAGGAGGGGGTGGTGGAGAAGAGAGTAAGAGGAAGACGTTAATTTAGTGCCACAGGGGAACAGGGTTTTCTGGTTAAGGCAGTATTCTAGGTATATGACAGTCATCTCATACACAGGTGGTACATTTTTTTCAAGGGAATAAGATTATAGTCAAACAAATGCACGAAAAGCTAACTGACTGTTTTGTTTGAAGATCAAGACAGAACTTTGGAAAATTCACAGGTCAGCATGTCAAGCCATAGTGCTCATTGTCCTGATGTCCAAATGGCAGTGGGATCAAATACCGGGCCAAGTGGGCCTGTTGAGCTCCACTTTAAATTTGTGAACTCAATTTATTTACTTCATTCCTCCCAAACAGCCAATGACTTTTATTTGTTAGGACAGTATTTTGGAAGTGCTTAGATTCAAACAAAGCAGTGGTTTTCTGTTTTAGAAAATAAAATATACCTAATAAATAGTGATATTCAACAACCTAGCAGACATGCTAAGCTGTTTATATCTGAAAGTGACAAGATAGTTGAGGTAAGTTCCTTTCTCATAATGCTAAATATTATTTCTCATTTAGAACTAGCTCAAGTTCTAGCTTTTCCAAGAAAGCATTATGCAAGTGTCATAGGTTCATTATTACAAAATACAAAATACAAGTAAATATAAAGAAAATACCATTGCCTTATATTCTGATTCCCAAAATATAACAACTCATTGATTGGCTAACATTTGATATGCATCATTTTGACTTTTTTCTTGCTCCATTTACACAGTTGATTCATTTCAATCAAAGGACCAGTCTTTTGATTCTTCAATCCTACCATTTTCTCCATTCTAGTTCCTTATTTTTGATTTTATTATTTTCTTCTTTCTATTGTTTTAAGTGTTTTTTTAAAATCTAACTTTATCACTTCAAGTTTGATTTACTTTGTTCCCTCTATTCTGATAAGAAAAATACTTACTGCTCTGCAATCATCTCTGCTTCCTACTTACTGCCTTGGCACTGCCCCATTTGTTTTTGCTGTATAATGTTTTCATTTTCTTGGCATTCCGTAATCATAGTTTTACTTTATTATTTTATCCAAGAGCCAGATGCTTCATTCGTTTTCATTCTTTCTTTTTAGTTTACATAAGTTTTTAAGGTTACAAACTTCCTCTGGACTGCTTTAGCTATAACCAGTAAATGCTAATGCAGAGCATTTTATCATTTCCAAAATATTCTGAAATTTTGGTTTATATTTTCTTTTTCACCAAGAATTGCTTAAAAAAAGGGGGGGGGGGGCTTAAATTTTTTTTTCTAGATAGAAGTGTCTTTGGGGGCTTTTGATCTTGTTAGTAAGTTCAATTTTATGGTATGATCAAAAACCATTATCAGTGGCATTGGCACTTTTTGGAATTTATTAAGGTTTTCTTCGTGGCCTCTTACATGGTCAATTTTTATAACTGTGCAATCTATATTTTCAGGCTGCAGGGTTTAATCAAGTTAATAATTATGCTGGTTATCTATATCCTCTCACATTTTTGTCCCCTTGACCTGACATGAACTGAGAAAATAGAATTAAATTTCTCCCTTCCTACCAGGGTGTTTCCATTTCTTCTTGTATCTTCTCAACAGAAATTGTGTGAGTATTGATAAATTATTTAGCACATAGATACTCTCAAAACTATATCTCTTAGAATTGATCCATTTAACGGTATTAGGTGCCATTCTTTGCCTCCCTTATTTTGGGGACTTGAATGCACTTTCATCTAATGTGAAGATTGAAGATTGTGACTTCTGCTTTCTTTTTGTTTGCATTTGCCAGGCACACATTCTCCCCATTATTTTTATTTTCAGCCTTTATGAATGTTTTTATTTTAGATTTAGGTTTTGTTCTGAGATCTGATTTCAATTGTTATTAATAAGTGATGGATATGGCATATGATAAGTTTAGTCTGCTTTTACACTTATATTTATCTCTAAAGTCCAATAACATATCCTAAGATTTGTTTCAGGATTGATCAATCTGGGTCAATTTTTCCTTACACAAAGTGGACATTCTAATATGTATATTCAAGTATTCTTTTTATCTCAGTGAAATGTTATTAAACTGTCAAGTGTTTATTTGTTTTATTTCATTTTTTCATTTGTCTTCTTCTGAAGCTCCAATTATGCAAATGTTGGATCTCTTTCCCTGACATCTACGAGTATATGTCTTTTTTTCTTTCTTTTTTATAACTCTTTCTTTATTTGCATTTCCTTGTATTTACTTTCACCATTTCTGTCCTCTTTGTCCCTTACTGTGTTTTCAAAGGTGGACATTACACCTTGGGCTTCTTCCAATTTCGTGTTTCCTTCTCTTCCTTTCCTGAATCCTATCAGTTCATATTTCATCTCTTCTCATCTTGATCCCTTGAGTTCTTTCATTTCTGCTTTATATTCTGACTTCCTACTTCTAAAGAGTTTATAGCAAAATATGTCATCTTGTTTGCTCCTTGGCAAACTTTTTCTGGTGGGTACATATCTTCTTCTTTTGGTTATGATTTAAATTTTCTCTTCCTTTTTTCATAGCATTTTTAAATTAATGCTGTGTTATTTCATTTATTATTGTTTGTCACTAAAAGTGTTGGATTTTCCTATATGAATTATTTCTTTTGTTCCACCACAGATGCAGACAGCTTCCTGCAAATACGACCCATCTGTGTAATTCTTGTGTAGCTCTACCTTCTCAGCTTCTGTGAACCAAATAGGCTCTAAGAGGCTTTTGTAACCAGCCTGAGCCTGTCTTCCAAGTTCCCATATCCATTGTGGTGAACAAGGGATATAACTTTTATATTTTATGGTCAAACCTCAATTTCAGGAACTATATTTTTTAACTATTTGTTATGAAATTTCCAAGCACACACGACAGTAAAGAGAAGAGATTATAAGCCCCCATGTACTTATAATCTGCCTTAAATAGTTATCAGCATTCTTTTATTAGAGAGTCAGGGTTTCCTGAGATCTGCTACCACTATGACCTTTCATCATTTCCATGCATCTTCTCTTAATTTACTGCCGAGTGGCTTCTACCCAATCTCAGTTGCCTTTGGACAACCCTTACATGTATTTTGGAGTCTGCAAATTTTATTTGTTTCCAACTTTTACTGAAAATGGAGTTTGTGGGTTTGAATGATTTCCAGAAGGAAAGGGGGAAAATGCTGACGTATGCAGCCATGTTCATACTGGAAGTTCCAATAAAATACTTTTTAAATTTCCAAGTGGTTGGTCTTTTTGTTTAAACTTTTGTTATTAATTTCTCATCTTATTACATTTTAATCTGTCTTGTATGGTTTCTGCTTTTGGTAATATATTACTAAACTAATATATGATTAAATTTTGTAAATGTTCTCTGAGCGTTAGCAAAAAATATATTTTCTATTTTTTAATTATTTTTATTCTCTATTATAAAGCTACTCTTACTGTAGCTTAAAAACATTTACTTTGTTATTCATATAGTTTATTTCCTTATTTATTTCCTGCTTCATCTGTCTAGGAGAGAGGTACATTAAAATCTTCACTGTAACTTTAAATTAGCTTGTATACTCCTATCATTTTTGCTTTAAGTATTTCTAAGATTTCTTGTTCTATGCAAACATATTTGGGTGTTTCTTTCATTCAGATGTACATGCTTTATTTATATAAAATACTCCATTTTGTTTCCTTTGCTTTTCACTTTAAATTCTATCCCTTTCTATTTTGTTTGCCAAAATATTTACTTTTTGCCATTCTAAGTTTTACTGCTTTAGACATGTCTTTGAAAGATAGTACATGTCTATGACTTCTGCTACATTCTAAGAATCCTTATCACTTAATAGTTATGCTTAATTTCTTTTTATTTATTAGGAACTCGAATATATTTTATTCTTTTTCTATTGTATTTTTCTATGATTACTGGGATTTTTTTTATGCTTTCTTGCTGTATCTTTTGTTCTCTATCTTTTGCTTTGAGACTATGAGTTGTTGTTTTCCCCCTTATGCTAATGATTACCAAAATATATTTTTCTCTTTACTCACTGTGTACTCCATTCTTTATATATTGCTGCAGGCTATTTTTCAGTCTCATGTTGATGGTGGTGGTTATCTTCTATTTACTTATCCTTAAAGGACCAGTGTTCTTTCACATCTGTCTCTCCCTCCCTCTCCCTCCCTTCTTCCCCACAACCATCCCACTCAGTAACATGTTGAGTGCATACTTTCAGAGAGCCCATTTTCTCTTGGATACTGTCAGAGATCTCAGAGAGGTCAAACTGGAGGCCTGGTGCCAATTCAACATCCGGCATCTGAGGGAGCAGCAAGTGGGGAGGAGGGGGCAACATAATGGACCATCCTGGCAGGATTCCTCTTAGTTTTTCTCATTTCTTGACAAGGCTACAGTAAAACCACGCCAAACCTAATGTGTTGAACCTTTTTCCTAGTACACAAATAGTTCTGTCTCTTTGTCCAACCTCACGTACCCAACTACCAAGTCAATGAAGAGCTGGCTGCCTGAAGCCTCATCTCTGTGCATCCAGATCTCCAGACACAATTCGCCCGTAAGCCTCCAACATATCAGACAATTTTTGACGCCTTGTGAAATCGCCCTCCAGAGTACACACCAAAGGCTTTCAACCAGCAGTTACCTGGACGCCCCAACCACCCACCCTGCCAACTAACCTCAAATCCAAGACCTTTTAGTGCGCTCCATGGGCCTCTCCCATGTGTCTGACAACCTTTGCAGTCCTTCTAGAAATATGGCAACCAGATATATCAAGTGGAAATATAGGACACCCAGTTAAATTTGTATTTCAAATAAATAAAAAGTAATTCTAGAAAAGACTGTCTCCTGAAACATTTGGAGCATGCTTACGTTTACCTGAAATTCAAGTGTAACTGGTTATTTTGAACTGTATCTGGCAACCCTCTCCAGGACACTACACAACTCCTTTGGGACGTGAGTTTGAATCACCTCAGGTTATCTTCTTCAAAAGTAGCCTATTTTTTTAAAGTGTAATTCTATTTGTGGGATTTCCTCAAAATACCAGAATTTCTCTGAATCATTCTTAGCTTTTTGTTTGTTTGGGTGGGTGGGCTTCTTTTCTTCTTTCCACAGAAAGAGAGTTTACCACATTTTTATATTTACTGGGTAATTTCTGTCCCAGTTGTACATGGAGAGTAATCACAGCAACAGTCTTAAGCTGACTTTCCTTTTCCCTTTGACACACAATTTTATCATAGGAAAGTTCAAATATCTTCAATAGCTACAGTATAGTAAAACAAATCCCTAAGTACCATCTCTAAGCTTTAACAACTTTCAACATTTTGCAATTTCAATAATTTTTAATATTTTGAAAATCTAATGGAGGGCAACCCATACCATCCATCTTCCCCCTTACTATTATTTTTTTTGAGCATCTTAAAACAAATCTCAGGCATCATTTCACCCATCTTTTCACTTCAGTACTTTCTAGCATTCTTCCAAAAATACTTTCTGGGTTATCCCAGCCCACGTTGACTTCTTGCTCTAAATCTGTAGGTGACCTTTCTTACCTCAATTAGTTCATCCGGATTCTTCAGCCTTCAGGTACCAAATGAGGAGACAAACATAAATATACATCTATTCTCTTTTGGTTGTGTCTCCCGTGCCCATCACATGTGCCATGGCTAACAGACAGAAGAGAACATCAGAGAGGCCTCACCTTTAGGGTGTCAAAGTCCTTCTCCAAGTAGGAGCCACACTTTTCACTCTCCCCAATCGAGGCATAGAATTTGCTCCACCAATCAATGAACTCCTCCTCCTGAGCAGGTAGAAAGAAACCCATCATTTCAGAAACAGAACTTGCCAAGCAAAGTCCTTCTGGCAAGGCCTACAGGTTGGCCTGGACTTCAAAGCACCCCTGTTGGGATGACTTTAGAGGAGCAGAGAACTAAAACTTCCTGACTCTCCAGGAACCAAGACTGCACAGATTGGGGGGGGGAAAAAAAAAAAGGTTTGAATACCTGCTTGGTGCATAAGAGGCAAAAGCTATAACCTGGGCCCTGTTCCCCATTCATTCTGTGGATCTGTTAAGCTCTCAGGTCTCCCTTTTCCTTTCTGGGAAGTGGGCATAAATTACCTGAGGCTAAAATGTGACGGTTACATAGGGTAACTCTTTGGGGGAAATGTCAATAATGTCTTATTTATAAATATAATGCAGTAGACCCAGGATAACTCAGATCCCCAAAAAGCTATCCTGAACCCGCCCTCACCCCAGCAAAAAAAAAAGAAAGCATCAAATACCAGAACTCAGCCTCCCCAAGGTCAAATTCTTGAAAATAGACAAATACTAAGTGCCCATTATTCAAAAGACATTATGCTACATGAGAAAATTTTGGTGAGAAGAAAGGAAGGTTGTGACAACCCACTCTCTGCCCTGTGCTTCCTCCAGGTACTCACACTTGTAAGGAAAGGTAGACAAGCCTGTTATGTATGGTACACACAGGTCTCCTGCACATGCTGTGCCTACACGGCCATTTAGCTCTTGTGTGTAGAACACACCTCCAGCTGCGTCCTGTCTATATGTATGTGTGTTGTCAGCCAGTGAGTCAGCAACCTTCCTGAAGATCACTCTTCCCCAGGCCTCTCTACAAAATCTCCAGAGGCTGGGCACATGGTCTGTGCCTGTGAGTACCATTAAAGCTCACCGGGAAGGGCCAAGGACAAGGCGTAAGGATAGCCCATCTGGGACTCACTTTCCTCCTCCATATGAGGGGGCAAGTCAGGAAATCTCCCAGGACCCCCCTCTGATTCTATAAAATGAACTGAATGTCTATCATCGAGAGTCTGGAAGTATTACTGGCTCCCTTTAAGCTAATGCTCAGTCCTTTGGGTTCTGGCATATTAAAGGTGAGCACAAGCTGAAGAAAGGCTGCAGGAACCTGAATGGGCACAATGGGGAAAGGGTGGACGAGGTTCTCAGCATCTGACCCATCTTCAAAGTATAGCCCTAACACCCTCTGTGTGGCCAGAATGCAGCTCCCAGGTACACAGCACAGAGAGCGGGTGTCGGAGCAAGGATGGGACTGCAGAGAGCCACTATTTGAACAACTCACCAGAAGGAGCTTCTGTAGCCAGAAGAGAGGAAAAGAAGGTCAGATGTGTTAAGACATAAGGTAGCAGAGCTTTCTCACTTGTAACCACTCTTGAAAAAGCTGGCATAGGGCAAGACAGAACTTAGCCCTGATGTTTTAAGTTCAATTTAAAGAAAAAGATACTATGGATAAACATATACAGACACACATGTCAAACTCAAACAATCACCAACACATGGAATACTATATTTATACAGACATGCCCAAGGGATATATATGCTAAAATGTACATATACAAACACACACACCCCAAATACACACATGTACACATATGAAATGGTTAGAATGCAATTTCGTTTAGTTTTTTTTTTTTTCTTCCTCAGTATTTATTTTCTTCTCCAGCCCAGATACTTAATACTTAGAGATTTGGGTGAACGACTCAGGCTCAGAGTCAGACATAAATAGGCAACAACCCGTGTGTTTTGTATGAAGAAATGACACTAACACAACAGATACAGAAAAGTTATTGCACTTTCCTCAGTCTTAAAAAGACAAGTAAATTTTTTTTTAATATGGAGACAGCGAATATGAAAGATACCAGGAACAGTAACAATTAAATAGACAAACATTATGTAATCTAAACACAGAAAATATACCTTCTTGTCCAGCATCGTTGGAGCTCTTAGAAAAATTAAAATCCACAAAGCAAATTTCAATAAAGTCAAAATATGAACCATTATCAATCACACTCTCTAATCATAATGCAATAAAACTGGAAACTAATGAGAAGTTAAAAAATTAAAAATCCCAAACCATATAAATTTAAAGGCATGCTCTTAAAACCCTTCTAAGTCAGAGAGAAAACCACAACTAAAATCAGATACATAGGAAATATCAACAGTGAGAGGACTATGTTCCCAAATTTGTGAATGGTAGCCAAGTATGAACCTAAAGGAAAATTCAGTCTTAAATGTTTTTGCTTTTATATAGAAGGAATGAAAATAAATCATCTGATAAGAAGTTAGAAAGAGAAAAGTAGGAAGACTAAAAATTGAAAGTGACAAGTAGAAATTAATATAGTAGAAAGAAAAATGATATTACAATTAACAATTAAACCCCAGAGAAAATTTTTAAAAGATCAACAAAATAAGCATTTACCAAGTCTCGTATTAAAAAAATGGGTATACCATTAGAAATCAGAAAGATAAAATAAAAAGAAATTTGAGGAGAATAAACATTAAGAGGTTTACCATATCCAAATCAGATGAAGTGGATGATTTTCTAGAAAAATATAAATTGCCAAAATTGATTCAAAAGTAATAGAAAACAAAGAAATCAGTAACCCTGAGTGTGAAAGATATCTCAAAGAACTACTTCAAAAAACAGAAATACGCACACACCAAGCCAAGATGGTTTCTTTGGGGAGAAATCCTATCAGTCTTAATAAATCATCCTTTGTTCCATAGCATAGAAACAATATGAAGTTTCCCCATTCATTTTTTTTGAGGGGAGGGAGGAGAGAGAGAGAGATCCTATTCCCAAATGAAGATGCAAATATCTTAAATAAAATACTAACAAAGAGATTACTGTAGCAACTCTGACATGGTCATGTTGAACTATTCCAGGATGTAGGAGTGGCTCAATATCACCTAGTAAGGAGAGAAAACCCACCTGATCATATATAACAGAAATTTGGCAACTGTGGCCCACTGGCCTGCTACCTGGTTTTATAATTCAAATATTACCTATGGCTGCTTTTCAGCTACAAGGCAGAGTTGAGTAGCTGTGACAGACACTTTATCCCCAGGATTAAAATATTTACTATCTGTCCGTTTTTAAAAAGTTTGTCAACCCCTAATTCATAACATGCAAAAAAGAAGCAAGGGTGATAAAATGTTTCAGTTATTCCTAAATGAAACTGTCAGTGGATTAAAAATTAAAGGAAGCTTTCTTAGCATAAGAATATCTTGAAGGAATAGTCAGCATTGTGCAATCACTTGGGCCTCATAATCAATCTAGTAGCTGTATTTGATATAGGCAGTCACTCCTCTCTCCTTGAACTATCCATCTCCCCACCCCTTGCCTAGGAGAGCACAGTGATCCTCCCATCTCACTGGCCATGCCTTCAAAGTCTTTGCTAATTCCTCCTTGTCTCTCACTCTCTGATCATCTGAGTGTCTCAGTGCTCCTCAATGATGAGACCTCTAATCCTCCTCATCCGCTATCACTCCCTTGGGGTTCTCCTCGGGTCTTACATCTTCAAATCACACATGCATTGGTGAACCCCATGTTGAGCTCTCTCCAGCCTGGATGACGTCTCTGAACTCCAGCTGCCGATTTCACATATATATCCTACACTAGGTATCCCACTGGACATCCACTAATTTCTCAAATGCACCATGTCCAGAATCCAATTTCTGATCATCCCCCACCCACCTGCTCCTTCCACAGTCTTCCTCTTGTAAATAAATGCCACTTCTTCCTTCCAGATGTTCAAGCCAAAAACAAAGCAGTCACCTTGGACTCCTGTTCCCCATGCTCCACATTCAATCCATCAGCAAATCCTCCTGGCGTCATCTTCAGTACATATTCAGAATCAGACCACTTATCCCCGAGTTCCCCATCATCTGGATTGCTGCAACCGTCTTCTAACTGGCCTCCTTGCTTTTACCTTAGCTGCCAGATCTATCTCAACACAACAGCCACACACATTGGAATATGTCACCTCTCTGTACGAATCCCTCCAATGATTTGCCAACTCCCTTGGAATAAAGTTAAAGCCATTACAACAAGTCCGTTATGGTGAGGTTTTCACTCCTCCCTGATCTCATGTCCTCCCACTTTCTTCGTTTCTCATGCTGCTCCAGCCACAGTGGCCTTCCTTGTCCTTCAAAATTACAGCACCTGCATGCTCTTCCCATGGCAGGAAGTCTATTCCCATGATAGACCATAAGTGCCCTCTTCACCTCCTCCAAGTCTTGACTTAATTGTAATCTATTTTACCCTCCTACTCACTATATTTTAAATCATGACTCCCAGTGTGTTATTCCCCTTTCCTTGCTTTTTCTCCTCACAACCAACATCATCTGACATCGAATATATTTTACTTAGGGTTTTGTTTATTGTGCCTCCTTCCCCATAGGGCAGAGATTTTTATCTTTTTAACACTATGTCCCCAGGACTTAGAACATTGCCTGGCACATATTTGAAGTTCAGTGAACAATTGGTGCATATATGAATGCCTAATTAGCAGGAGGATGGGTGATCCTTGGCTTTTAGATCTCCCAAAGCAGATGACATACCATTAAAATAATGGGTTTAAAAGGATGTTTGGTCCAGCCAGTTTTCCCACCAGAAAGAGGCGAGATGAAAATGTAGACGGGGCTGGGGGGGGGGGGGGGGGGGAGTGGGGAAGAAGAAGCAAGAACTAGAGATTTGCGATGGTTTCTGATAAGGCACCCCCATACCCTGCCCCTCTAGGTTAGCCCAAAGATGTATAAGGAAAATATTCCTCCATAAATTTGGGGGTCTAGTAAACAGTAGCCACCACAGAGCATTGACCTATGGATTGAAGGGTCCTGGGTTCGATTGCCAGAGGAATTAGGTCATGGAGCATTTGGCAAAAGATGGCTGCCTTTGTCATTTCCTGTGGATCCCAGAGTTCATGAAAGAGCTGCCAAATTGTACCATGCTCTCCAGAAGGGTTTGAAAATGAGGCAAGAGAGAA